AGATTTATATATCGCTTTGCAGTGCTTTACAGCCCTCTCTAAGCGGTTTACAGAGTCAGCNCTTGGGCTGGCCTTATATATGCATGTATACATGCATGCACATCATACTGGTGTGTCTGTACCAAGGCTCATAAACATTTTGAGCAGTATAAACTGAAACATCTGTTTTTATCTCCCAAACCTTTTAGCTCTAAATTTTAACCTCTAAATGTTAATCTCCATTTTCTAATCAGATAGCTCTTAGTGTTTATTACTTAGCCCTTCCTCTAGGTTTAGAAATCATTTCAGCCCTTTTATGGCTCAGGGTTTCATGTGTCATCTTTAGCAGTTTTGTACTTTTCTATACTATTTAGTTTTACATTGTTCACTTTCAGTGTTCATGTTTTGGGTAAACTGGACTATCTTCCCCTATTACAATTTTAACATAGTCATACATTTGCATATATACTAGTCTTGGACCATAATAATAAAAAATGTAAGCTATATTGTAACTCTTTTTATGTCTTGTGAGAATCAAATACATAATTCTGCACTCAGAATTTTAAAACAACATAAATAATAAAAGAAAAAAATATTTCACAAACCGGACAATTTACTCCTCTTAACATTTGATATATAAATCATCTATCCTAATACCAGCAGTAGCCAAGAAATAATTGTATTTGCTAGGATGGAATTCCTAGACCCAAAGGAGTTCCAATACTTTCCCAGAAGATATAGATTGTAACATTACAGGTAGTCCTCGAGTTATGACAATTGAGCCCAGAATTTATGTTGCTAAGTGAAGCCTTTTATTAAGTGAGTTTGTCCCATTTTATGACTTTTCTTGCCACAGTTGTTAAGTGAATCATTGCATTTGTTAAGTTAGTTACCTGATTGTTAAATGAATGTGAATTACCCATTGACTTTACTTGTCTGAAGGTTGCAAAAGGTGATCACATGACCCTGGGACAATGCAAGTGTCATAAATATGAAACAGTTGCCAAGCATCTGAATGTTGATCACATGACTGTGGGGATGCGGCAGCAGTTGTAAATGTGAAAAACAGTAAAAAGTCACTTTTTTCAGTACTGATGTAATTTTGAACTGTCACTAGATGAACTGTTGTAAATCGAGGACTACCTGTACTTCAAGAAAGGGTGAAACTCAATACACATAAATGGATTTATAGGACCATTTTTACCCATAAATATATCCCTTCCCAAAATAACATTTAAGTAGGATTACAAATCTTAAAGTGATCTACAATTGTTAAAATTTTAAAAATCACAGATTAAGTCAAAACAAAATAGTATACAGGTAATCCTCGATTTAAGATTGGTCACTTAGCAACCATTCAAAGTTACAACAGAACCCAAAAAAGATACTTATGTCCCAGATTTGAGGTGGAGATGAAATGTAGTGAACTCAGATGACTGCATTTTCGGCATGTGGCAACCAGCCCTCATTTATGGCTCCTTGTAAAGTCACTGATCATGATTTATGATTTATTTTTCTTTTGCTGAAAACTAGCATTTACTTCCTCTTCCCGGCAAAAAAAAAATCACTCAATGGGTTAGCTGATAAAATCAGTCACGTAGCATGATGACCCTTTTAATGACCATCATGATTTACAATTGTAATTCCAAGCTCAATTACGGTCATTACGCCAAAGGCTGTAAAAGGACAGGACTTGTTACTGTAAAATGACACGATTTAAAAACTGAAAGGAAAAATAGAATGCAAAACATACTTTATAATACATTAGTAAAGATTTGGGTTACAATTTGGATCTTTAGCAGGCATGTAAAATGTGTAAATGGAGGTGGCTTCCTAAATTTCAGGTAAGCATTCCCCCATGAAAGGGCCACCACCAAAAAGGCCCTGCTGTAAGAAAGCAGAAGAATCAGTGGTTTCTTGAACCTATGGGGGTGATATGCTGACTCTGTAAACCGCTTAGAGAGGGCTGAAAGCCCTATGAAGCGGTATATAAGTCTAACTGCTATTGCTATTGCTATNACCGAGAAGGCTCTCCTCCGGGTAGTTGCCAGTCGACATTGGCTGGCTGATGGGATTTGGAGGAGGCCTAATCTATGGGATCTTATTGGTCTAGAGGAGGTAATTGGCAGTAGGCGGTCTTTCAAGTACCCACTACATCTTTGTTGTTTCTTATTAATACACAGTACATTATAATTATTCTTGAAAATTCCAAAATTAATACATTGAAAAGAAATACAAATCTGTGAAAAAAATGTTGAAAACGTAAAAAGCTGTTCATGTATTATTTTACTACTCATGCTTAAAAACAAGAAATCATGAAAATGAAATGTCTAGAGTTTCAAACTTGGAAATATATTTGTTCAAAAGAAAATAGATTCCCACTCATGATTACTGAAAACTTGCAGTTCCAGAAGCCTAAAGCTTTCCGCTGTTATCACTGTAATTTTCAACATATAATACTTAGATAGTTCCAAAATTCCTTTACCTTCTTTTTTTAAAAAATTCAATACATTTCTATTATTTTGTCTTTCACTCTCTTTCTGCACCACAGGTGGAACTGAGTTGAGAGCAATTCTGAAGAAGGCATCCATAAGAACAAAAATAAACAATTGCTTCTGCCTCTTTGCCTGACTTTTCCCAGCATGAACACTATTCTTCACTCTACTATCAGTAGCTGATAGGAAAACAGAAACAACATAAATAGAAAAATAGTTATGCTTCCAAAACCTCCATTCTTCATAACCCACAGCAGAATCTATGACGACGGGTCCCAATCTGGATTAACCACTGGATGTACAATTAAATAACAAATATCTAGATTTTTTTAATCTGATATACAAAGATCTCCTTATAAATGAATTGTGGGATCCATTTATATTTCCACTTTTCATTAGAGCTTTTACAAAGGAAAAAAAATGGGATGAGTCACAATAATCCTCAAGTTTAATATGACTAGACTTTCCTTATTATGAACACTGTAAAGGAAATATTTTTTTTTTTTATCAAATACTCCCTCTTATTTAAAGTCAACTCCTTTGTGGTAAGTGAACTATGGACAAGTCTATTATTTAGAACAATAAATTGCTACCACTTCCTTTCAGGATTAAAAAAAAACTTTGCAGTTTAGTCTCAGACTCTGAGGTTACAGGGTAGTCTCCCATCCAGCTGCAAACAATGTATAACTCTGCTTAGCCTTTTCTCACTCAGCTACCTGCTATGATCTTACCGTTTTGTTTTACCAATTATGGTTCTTCAACAAAAGCAACTATCACCAATGAAACATATGTAACAAACTGCAAAGGACAGCAATAATAAGTAAAACACTATCAAAGCTATGAAAATCACTGAGGGATTGTAACATTCAATCCGTTTATAAGAGTTACCGAGTGGATTATGTCAAGAGATTTTCATTCATACGTTTACAATGGTACAACAGAAACAATCATATCAACAATAGTAGAAACGGTAGACTAGGGCTTTCAAAGGCAAAACAATATTAGTGGAATGTACATTACTAATTTCAGAGAAGGAAAAGGAAGTAAATCCACGGTATCTAGAAATGTAAGGAAATTCACAATGGAAGTTATCAAAGAAAACAAAACATATTGGAAAAAAATAGAAGCAATAAGTTAAACGGAATGTTACAGACACTGGGAGAAAATTTCAGCATGGATTAGTGTACTAAAAATCACAGAATCACAGGATTGGAAGAGACCTCAGAGGTCTTCTAGTCCAGCTCCCTACTACACAACACGTAAAGGGTCTTCTATGGCAAAAATGAAGGGAAAGAAATGGCAGCGACAAAAAATGAAGGTTTTTTTTAGCGTTATGTGTGTTTTCTGATAATAATGCTGGAACACCACCAGTAAAAGGAACAGAGGCACAGCAATAAACACAGCAAAGCTGAAAACATACATGTGGGGAAAACACATGAAACAATGTGGTTCTGAGAAAAGTTATATTATAAGGCTTTCAGAGAAATCAAGAGGGGATATATAAGCAAAGTTGTATTTAGGATAGCGGTGCAGTAGCGAAAGTGGCCAATTTCATTGGGAGATCTATCAGCGATGGCAAAACTATGGTTGGCGACAGCAGTGTCCGTATCAGCGAAGAATATTACTAGCATCAATAAAGAAAGTTGGAAAGATGGAAGCGATAAACAGTCAATGACGATGATATGGCAACGAGGATGTTGATGGCAGAAGCTTCACCACACACAATTAACGGTGTCAGTTATAAAGGGGCATCCCGACAGAGATGGCCGCACGATGTGCCGGATGGATTGCAGCAATGGCAGTTATCAGCAAACCACAGCGCAATGTTACCCGCGGAAAGGAAAGTGACCCACAACGGTGCCAGCTAAGCCGAAGAAGAGACGAAAGGATATATCCAGCCGGAGAGGAAAATAAAGAGCAGAACAATGAAACCCAAGGAAGTTCCCTAGCAGCATTTGGACCCTGGCAAGCCAAGGAGAGCGCAGGTGGTACAGGTGGTGGCCAAAGTGGTCAGCACTGGCATGGCGCAAAGCATGGTGGCAACCCCAGGGAGGCTGAGCAAAGGTCACCAAAGGTTACAAGGCCAGTGGCCAAGGCAGGCCTCTCCCCTCCCGCCCCCGCACACCTGGGCAGGGGGGAGGAGCTCCGTCCCCTCACCTGCTGCCCTCCCGGGTTTTGTCCTCACCTGGTGAGGAAGGCGCCCTGCTGGAACGGGGAGGCCTGGCCCACAGGACCGGGGACTCCCTGGGCGGACTTCAGCAGCCTCGCCTGCCTTGCCCGCCTCTCCCGCCTTTGCCCCCCCTCCCCACTCCAACTTGTCTCGGCCCGGCGAGCTTCAGGCCCCAACCGTCGCCGCCGCCGCCACCGACGACGACGACGACGACGCCACCACCACCTCCTCCCCCTCCATGGCTGCCGCTCACCCGGCTGCCGCTGCTGCATTGTGGGAAGCGGCCGTCTCAGTCGGACCCACCTCACTCGCCGCCGCCGCCGCCCAGACCGGCTCCTGTACCAGCAGCAGCAGCAGCAGCAGCAGCAGCAGAAGCAAGCGCCGCCGCCGCTGCCATGGGAGCTGTAACCGACGGTGAGAGACAGAGCAACCCTCGGAGCCGGCCGCGACCTGCTTTGCCGCCTGCTTCCGCTCGCTTTTCCCGGACGGGCCCAGCTTGAGCGTCCCCGCCACCTTCCCCCCTCTTGGGGCCGGTAGGGCCTTTGCAAACCGGCTTGTCCGCTGCCTTAATGCTCAGCCGCGGGGATGGTGATGGGGGTGGATTCGCTTTTACTACGCCTCCCCCACCGAACCCCGAGATTTAGGACTCCCTTCCCCGCCGGTTGAGCCTCCCGATTCTACCCGGGATCATTTCTGCTTTGCAGCTCTCCGTGGCGGGACTTCCCACGGTACCCTCCCCCCCCCCACCCCGCGAACCACAGGAGCGGCGGCCACGAGGTCTTTTGGGTTTGGGTTTTGCCTCGCGTGTTGTTGTAAATGCAGCCCGTGGGGCTTAATTTGGGGCTCGGTCGGTGGCGGGACTTGCCCGGGTCCAGTTAATGAAAGAAAACCAAAGGAAAGCGCCTTTAGGTGAACTCAGCCTGGGGAGGATTTGGGTGGTGGGGAGGTTTGAAATATGAATATTTAAGGCTTACTTCTCTTCGTACGGCTAGGCTGCAGGAATAGGGACGACCTGTGGATGGTATTGTTATTATTAAAATGCGTTCGCCGTTGACCAGCGACAGTGGACTCTTGGCGGCGCGCAAAACAAAACAAAAAAAAAGGCACAAAAGTAGCTAAAGCGAGTAAAGCCCACAAGAAATCCCTAGTATAGGTCTCCTGCGTGAGCAGGGGTTTGGACTAGATGGCCTCCAAGGTACCTTCCAACTCTGTTACTGTTACTGAAACTCTGACTGAACTATAACAACTTTCAGGAAAACAGAACAGGGATTGAATAACAAACTTCAAAAACATTAAGTATCCCAGCGAAAGGTGCAAGGGGGGAACTAACCTAGCAGTACTGTTTAGTGGTTGTATTTGCTTTAAAATTATGATTTTCTGCACATACTCTTTTTTTTTTGCTCTTGCTTCTGATTGGCACATTATTAACTTTATGTTTTGTTCCTACTTTACAGCTCCAGTACTTTTATATAGCTTATTCTGTTTTCAGATTTTGTTCTATAGATATACCCCATGGATTTAAAGATTAATTGATCTATTTTTTCCTATTTTTTCCTGTGCTTGAAATTAATTTAATACATTTATAATTTTGATGAACTTTTTTAAAAATAAAATTGTAGTTAATTTTTAAATAATATACCGTATTCTTTTTCTATATTGAAGGCTACAATTCTGTGTCAAATTTTCAAGTGATAATTTGTCTCATTTTAGAAATATTATTGCTATTTTAGATGAAGTTATTCGTAAGAGACTTTTGATTGATGGAGATGGTGCAGGGGATGACAGACGAATTAATTTGCTGGTGAAGAGTTTCATCAAGTGGTGCCATTCTGGATCTCAGGAAGAAGGGTATTTTGCTGTCTTTTATTTGTAAATCAAATGTGGAAACAGCAATGTTATCTATAGCACATACTCATTTTAATAGAAAAAGGAATTTGTATCTAATGACCTGTATCTGAAATGGTTTAACATATATATGAGGGGGAACAAGTTATGATACAACACTTTATAACTTTTGAAGTACATCTTCGGCAATATGGTAACTGCTTTGGTAATTAAAATGAATGGGTTTTATAGCAAGTGCTGAATAGTATGATACACGGTAGCTAATAGGCCCTGGGAAAATGCATTGATTTGTATTTCTAAGAAAAACAACAAATCATCATATAAAATAAAAAGTAAATGAAAGCCATCAGACAAAAACAGTTTGACTTTAATAAGTAAATCATTGCTATTTATTTGTTATATAAATGTTAAACATTTTTAGTTAAGACTCTTCTTTCAGCACAGGATACCAGTTTTCTCACACTGGATACTGTATGCTACATTATGGGTATATAATTTTATTATGGAATATGGTTGTACTTTTGATAGTGACTGTAATAGGAATTGGGATATCACATTACTCTTCCAATGGTTGTGTCATTGGATACATATTGTGCTTTTGTAATGTTTTGCTAATAATGCTGGGAGTGATAAAATAATGTTCACCAAATCTACAAGAGCTACTTCCTCCATAGGCTTTAAATAAAGAAAGAAAGAAAGAATATCAAAATGTCACAACATGGTGAGATTTCAGTAGTAGTTTTCACATTGTCTGTTGCCTTGGACATCTTTGGGCAAGAAGCAATAACTACCAATTCCTGCTGAAGAGATTGAAACTCTTCTAACATTTTTTCTAAACTGTGTTTAGTTTAGTTTACTTTTTGTTTTTCTTAAAATGAATAGAAATTTGGTACACTGGAAAACAAGGCACTCTTCTAATATTTGTATTTCTAATCATTTGTTTGGGATTGAGATAGTTGTAAGCTAGTGGTTAGGAGTCTAGTGGTTTGTTTAGAAATGTGTCCACTTGTCCAGAAAAAGAAAAACCCAAGGAAGTACAGTTGTCTTTCAGAAAAAGTACCTTTGGGATGGTGTGAGTTCTAGTCCATTGTTAGGCATGAAGCTAGCAAATGGCCTTAAGCTATTCACACACTCCCAGCCCTTGAAGTAGGAAGAAATTCCAGAAATCTTGCTAACAAACTGCAGGAATTTATCCAAGTATTGCAGTAGTGGAAGAAATAAACATAAGAAATAAAATGGAGACTGCACCCCTTCCCTCCCTGTCCTTAAGGTATTGCCAGGGTCAAACCCAATATCTCTCTTTGCCTAACCCCATCAGATCCAAATTGACCCTCCCTGCCCCAGACAAAGCCTTCTGCAGTCCCATCTAACCAAAGAATAGAAGCCTTATCAGCCCTTGCAAGGGAATTTCAACCTAGAGAAACTTCAACCTTCCATCTTATCAGCCAGTGACCTCAATATTCAGTCTCCTTCACAATGGACTTCCCCAGCTCTGAGACTTTCCTGAAACACCCATTTTGCCTAACAATAGAACTCAAGTACACCAACAAGGATTTGCCTAACATGCCCAAATTGGCCAGCTAATCCCATCCCTAGGATTTCCCACTTTGTATCACTCAATTTCTATAAAAATAGTTGCTTTTCCATTGTTAGGAGTCCCTCTTTCCTGTAAAGCAGGCACCCAATGATCATTGCAATAAGGATTTGTCCTTCCTCTCAGTGTTGAGCTCGTTACTTTAACAAAATTCCATGTTAGCTGCCAAATGTGACTTGAGTGCACAAAACTATATATTTTATCAAACTAAAATAAAATTGCATTTTGCTTGATGATGTCTGAAGCTTTCTTTTGAAACTGAAGTTCTATGAGCAGATAAATTGTACTTCGCCTGTTTTTATTAGAACTAAAATTCTTAATAGATATAGTTTGACCATTATAAATATCAACTTTCCATCTTCCAGTTAACACTTTTAATAACTTTCAAAAAGTCCCAGTTAAAATAGGTTTAAACTTAGATATATGTATTGTATTGTTGGAAGAAATGTCTTTCTGGGTTCAGTTCCAAATGGGGAAAAAGACACTGGAAACATGAAGGCTGCTTGGAAAGATGGTTTAATGGTGGACAAGATCACATGGCTTGAGCTCCTGAACAGGAAAGGGGGATTACATGCTTCAAGATGTTAGGTGAAGAAGAAAAAAGGCAGAGATGCTGAAAGTCCCTGGTTTTATGCCCTCTCTGGGCTTTGAATCTGAGCTTGTATTCTGATTGGTTGTCAGACTGCCATGGGACCATACAGGGGCAACTCTCTAGGCTGTGTTTTGAGTCCAGGTTTGGCTGAGCAATGCTTCTTCCCGGGTACCCTGTGGTGATATGGATAAAGGGCTAATACTATCATGCCTTAATCCCATCACCCTGGAGCTGAAGGTAGAGATTTTTGTTATGTAGAATTGACTGGCCCCGGCCTTTTAATGGCCCATTAACAAATGTGGGAGCTATTAAGAGTGAGCCTGTTTCCTTCCTAAAAACATGTTTCTCCATTTCTTATCCAAGGAAATATAATATTCTGCCTTTTCAATATTTCCCAGGATATTTCATTTTTCTAGGAGAGGGGTATGTTTTAACTTCCTACAGTATATTTGAAAAAAAGTGNATGAGGACCCGGATTGTTGGGGGCAATATGCTGACTCTGTAAACCGCTTAGAGAGGGCTGAAAGCCCTATGAAGCGGTATATAAGTCTAACAAATAAAATAAATAATATACAATACACAACAAACCAATTCATCCACTCCGGGGGTTCTCTTCTTCACAAAATAGTTTCAAAATAGCATGTTGATCATAGTGATCAATGCTGTAAAAACACTACACCAAAAGAAATAGAACTAAGAAGCTTCTTGGTTACTCTTAACATCTTCACTTGAAGGAATATTATCTAATTATATATGATATTAATAGAGTAATAGAACAGAATAATGGAGTTGGAAGGGATCTTGGAGATCTAACACCACCAACCCCATACAAGTAGGAGACCCTTTACCATTCTGGACAAATGACTGTTCAATCTCTTCTTAGAACCTCCAGTGACAGTGCACCCACAACTTCTGAAGACAAACCACTCTTCTCACTATCAGAACATTTCTTTTTAATTCTTAGTTCATTGTCAGGAAATATCTTCTTAGTTACCTATATTGACATAGCTGATTAATTAAAAACATTTAATTTTAATATATAGAGATACCCTATTCAATAATGTGTACTGAAATAGAAAGTAGAATCTAACTTTAATCAATTCATCCCTTCTTTGCCTGCTCTGAAATCTTACTTCTGACCCAAACTTTTGGTACTATGTATTATTTGCTAGCAAAAGAAGGCAATGCATAGATTGTCTTCCACTCTGTAGCATGCTGTCTGAGTCAACTGAATGAAAGGGAAAGCAGAAAATATTGACCACAAGGGAAAACCTAAAATTTAACAGTAACAAGTAGCATTTTTATTTCCAGATCTCCAAAGTAGAAAAAGAAACTAAGTAGCAATTCACAACAAATCCAAATTCTTTATTGTATGAGTTCTTACCTGAAGAGGGCAGCATCTTCTAGGTACAGACACACATGTAAGCGTTATGTGATGCATTATATACCTATATACTTAAAATTTCTTTTTGAATATGTTCTCATATTGAAAAAAGGCTGCATATTTCACATTCTTTCAAAAATTTCGTTCATTCCAAGAAAGAAAATACGTTATAGATTCTTTATTGAGAGATAATTCTGCCTATATATTTAATCCAGAAAATTTAGTTAAAGTTGTAAAACTGAAACCACCCTTTCCTTCCAAATGTCATTACATTTCTGTATTGATAAGGTGGCATCTTTTTTTGGTTTTACGTTACAAGACTACAGTTATGTCTACATCAATGCAAGCACTATTTCAAATTGAATTGTAAAGACTAACAAAAAATAAAGCAAATCCCATAATTTAAAGACAAGACAAAACCAAACCAAACCAAACCAAACCAAACCGAAAATCAGTTAATATCTAGCAAAAATAACAAACACAGTATAAAAAGTTAGGAATACAAATTAAAAATTGTTTTAAACGTCAATCATCTGCCAAAAATATATTAGCATCTTCAACAACAAAGATATCCAATGTTGTGAGATTTAACTTTGTGAAAGATAATTGAAAGATGAATGATACCTAACATTAAAAAAATGCTTAAATATGGATGGGCTATGAATCAAAATGCAACAGATAAATTACATAAAGCAATATGTTTCCTTTTACAGTAAAAGTTATTACCTCATTACATTTGCAAAGATTATAATAGTCCATTCTGGATCATTTAATGAGCTTCAACAGATGGTTATCTACTTTTTTTCTCATTAATTGAGGTGAGATTTCATTGCAAGCATGAATTTCAGTGACTTCCTAAATTGGCAAATATAAAAATGTATGCAATAATGTCAGAGGAGAAACAAATATAAAAATACTGTTTGCAGTTAAATATACAAGCCTTAAATGTATATTCAACTACCGGTAATACTATAACCTGTGGGAGTGTGTTATAGCCCATATAAGCTAATTCCAGGGTAATACATGTTTAAGGTGTCAGAAGAGTCTCCTTCATTTTGCTACAACTAATTAATATCACTATGCCCCAATAAATGGTTATAATAGAGACAATTACAATGTAAGGAAAGGTAAAAGGCCTCATTTTGTCAACTTTACAGCACTTGTTATAATTAAATGGTAATTCAGTTCTGTGTTAACTATTCCAAATTACTTGCATCTATTTATATTAAAAACAGAGTATCAGAAAGAATCAATGGAATTTGACCCACAAATAATCATGCAAAGCAGTCTTAAATAAAGCCAACTAGACTCTTTGTAGTAAATTGTATAAGGATTACTACATGACCCAATATCACTTTTCCTATTGGCTTTGGCGGAGAATGAATTTTGTGTCTTGCTGACAATTGTACGCATTAGCTGTGCACCAGAGCTTCAGATTCAAAGGCAAAGTGGTGCTTTGGAGTGTGAGAAGTTACTGTCTGTAACTTCTTAAACCCAATGCATCTGTTTCTAGGAATCACACTGCAGTTGTGTGGAGTTGCATGAGATTCCAGGGAAACATGGAGCTACATTTAAGGAGTTGTAGGTAGATGAAACATTCATCCCACTGCATAGTTTGAAATACTTTTGGGGCTTTGAATCCAAATAACTGTCCAGTAACATAACACCAACATAGAAAACAAGTATATTCAATTTGCATATAGCCACTACTCACAGAAGTAGTGTGTAGACATGATAGCAATTACAAGCAAAGGCAGTAGTAAACCGGATTAACTTAACAACTGTGTTACTGATTTAACAACTGCAGAGATTCACTTAACAAATGTAGCAAGAAAAGTCGTAAGATGGGGCAAAACTCAACAACATAAATTTTTGGCTCCACTGTGGTCATAAGTTGAGGAATATCTGTAATGACTGCATTTGGGAGTCCAAAAAAGAGCTGGACATAATTCTGGTTACAGGCACTGCTTTTTTTAATGAAAACCTTCTGATACACCACATGGATCTTAAAAAATACATAAACTTAAGAGTTAAGAACACTATGAAAGAATTTAGCACTACTTTATAAAAATGTACAGCATACCAGGCTAACACATTTCCCCCCCTAATTTCAACAGAATGATTAAAAGATAGCAACATAAAAGACTCATTTTGTTGCTATTGGTAGAAAAGACTTCAGTCCCATTTCTGGACTGAAAACCTCTAGCTTACAACCTAATAGCATTCTAAAAGTTTAAACTGTGAACAAGATACTAGAGAGACAGAACTGGCTCCATCTTGCATTGCCTTTCCTGAGTTTCTATTAGAAGTTATTCTCAGGATCCAAATCTATGTTGATACACATTTAAAATGGAGCAAATTGCAAATTTAGTTTAGTTTAGTTTAGTTTATACTTTATTTGTATGCCACCCTTTTCCCTGGGGGGACTCAGGGCGGCTCACAATTGAAGGGAGGGGAAAGACAGACAAGTTACAAACATAGAAACCATACATCATTAAAAACACAACAGTCATACCATTCGAGTGGGGTTACAAGTCTTTAGCCCCAGGACTGTTGGAACAGCCAGCTTTTAAGGGCTATGCGGAAGGCCTGGAGAGTGGTGAGGGTGTGAATCCCCACGGGGAGTTCGTTCCAGAGGGTCGGAGCAGCCACCGAAAAGGCTCTCCTCCAGGTAGTTGCCA